ATTGATCAGTTTCCCTGGCTGGAAGATTTTGAAAGCTCAGCTTGGGCACCGGGAACGGGAAGTGGTGATAACGGTACCATGCACCGCGGCCTTTTCCCCAATCAGCAAACCGGTGATGCCTACTGGCAGGTAGCCCCCAACCCCAACACCGCGGGCTTTGCCTGGTCGGTAAGAACAGGCGGCACGCATACCATGTTTACCGGCCCCACCGGAAATCACACCCCTGGCGGAGCGCGTTATGTGTATGCCGAATCTTCGCAAGGACAACGGGCAAGCTCAACTTCTCCGCCCCCGGTTTCGCAGTTAATTACGCCCTGTATTGATTTGACTCAAACCAATAAGTGTATGGGCTTTGAGTTCTATTATCACATGTTTGGAGAAGATATGGGTAATCTGCGGGTTGACATCGACACGGGCAGCAACACTACGGCCTGGAACCTGGCAGCAGTGGTGAACGTGGGCGAGCAGCAAGACCAGCAAGCCGACCCATGGAAAAGAGCCGTTATTAGCCTGGAGCCCTATTTGGGCACTTACGTACGTTTGCGTTTTGTGGCTTCAAAGCAAACCACCAAAACCGGAACCGACATCCGCGGTGATATTGCCATTGACGACCTCCGCATTTTTGAACTGCCTCCCGTTGACATGGAAGTGCTTGAGGTTTCTGATCCCAAGCCAGGCTTATGCGCCTACAGCAGCAATCAGGATGTAAACGTAGTGTTGAGAAACACCGGCTGCGACACCATTACCAGTACGCAATTGCAATACAGATTGTACACAAATGGTACTGCGGGTAGCACTTTTACGCGCAACGTTACCGGCCTGAGTTTGGCCACGGGCGATACCACAACTTATACCATTACCAACAGCGGATTAAACTTATCCAACAATTCCAATAATTATCAGATTGAAGTTTGGGTAAACCAAACCAACGATACGGTTTCATCCAATGATGATGCAATTTCTGATACCCTGTCAGGCTCAGGTGCCTTTACCAACTTCCCGCTGGTATTAGATTTTGAGGGCTTAACACCGGGCTCTCACCAAACCGGAAATGCCGTTTTCTTTACCAGAACTGGTTTTGATCCGAATTATGAATTTACCGTGGGTGAGCGCTTTACGTTTACGCGCAATACAGGTCCCAAAGGAGGTTATGGCCAAAGAGGGCAATACCTGTACACCGAGGCCAGTGGTAGTTCAGGAAACGTTGATACCTATCTGGAATCTGATTGTATGGACTTTACCGGTCTTACCAATCCTACCCTTGACTTTTACTACCACATGTGGGGGACCGACATTACCGGTATTGAAGTGCAACTGAATGAGCCCGCAGTTATGGGTCCCGACAACTGGATTACCCTACCGGGCAGCTTTACGGCTCCCAGCACGGCTCTACAGAACGATCCGCTATCTGACTTCCAGTTTAAGCGTGTAAACCTCAGTTCGTACAGCGGAAAGCAAGTGAAATTGCGAATTGTTGCCAAGCGTAAAATTGGCGGTGATTTAGCCGATATCGCAATCGACAACGTGATGATTTATGATCGCATTGCCAACGATGCCGGTGCCGAGTTGTTGTTTAAAATCCGCCCGAACACAGGATCGCCTTGGGACGATATTCTATCGGTAGACGCAGACACCACCGTTACGATTTACCCGCCCAACCTGTTTCGCGCCAACGTTTTCATGAGAAACTTTGGTACTTCCAATATTGTGAACCCTACATTCACGGTAACGGTAGAACCATTGTGTGGCCCTAATGCCGGGCAAATAACCACCTATACTTCCAGCGCCATAAACACTACCATTAATCCGGGCAATGGCGCCATGTTGGTGGACAACAATCTTCAGGTAGTAATACCTACCGGTAGGTGCGAGATTTGTGCCTACGGCAACGTAACGGGCGATAACATAAGCTTTAATGATACTGCTTGTCGCTACATTACCGGATTGCCCAATGAGCAAATTGATTTCTTTGCAGACTATGAAAACTGCAGCTTTGATGAATACGGTTTCTTTGCCCAGGGAGGATATCTCCAATGGGAATTTGGACGACCCTTGCCAACCAGTGGTTTTGCATCGGTTCAAAGCCGCGGCAATATCTGGGGAACCAACCTTGCGGATGGTTACTACCTGGATGGGCTGGAAGAACGTTTGAGAACGCCCCTCCTTTTCATTCCCGACTCTATTGTGAAACCTACCATCCGCTTCTGGCAATACGTTGATATGGGTCAAAATGCTGCGGGTAAAGTAGAGTTTAACAGAGGGGGCTGGTCAACCTTGGGAGCCACCCTGGGAAGTTTCCAGGGCGTGGGCACCAACTGGTACACCAATTCTCCGATGGGAACCTTGAGCAGCAATGTTCCGGGAATTGAACAAGGCTTTACTGGCTCTTCGGGCGGCTGGAGATACTCCACCTACCCCATGCTAGACCTGAACCGGGAAGGAAACTTTGTGCCCTTCCGCTTTACCTTTAAGTCTACCGCCAATGCCAATGCTTCTCGTCAATCAGACGGTTGGGCCATTGATGACTTTGAGGTGATTATTCCACCGCAGCACAGTGCCTCACCCGATACCTTCCGTTTTGTAAACCCCTTGCAAATTCCTACCAACGATCAACCTTTTGATGTGATCATTAGAAATACGGGGGCGCAATTATTAGATACCTGTGAAGTGTTCGCAGAAATCTTACCCGTAGGAGGCGGCCCTGCCATTTGGCAAAGCTCACAATGGTACACGGTTGATTTACCGGCATTTTTCATCGAAGGTTCTACCTTTAAATACCGTTTCCCGGAAGATTGGGATCAGGGCGTAACCTCAGGCCAGCACTTGTTGCGCATTGTAACCCGCAGGCCAAACGTTAGGCCTAAAGACGACCGCCCCATTGACGACACCCTGGAAGTGGTAGTTACAGTATTGCCTGAGTTTTTCTACAACAGCAGTCAAAACGATACCTTGTATTGCAATGACTTTGAACCAACCACGCAGAGTTTGCCCTTTTTACCCCTCAACTCCAAAACCTTTTCTGGTGTGCCTTCCAGTTACAGTTGGAGAAAAGGCGACCCAACACAGTTTGGTGGGGCTGCCAGCGGCAACAGCGCCTGGGCTACCAACCTAACCGGAAATTACGGGGTTAGAGAGCAATCGGCACTCATATCACCGGTATTTGTGATTGAGCCCGATACATCCTACGAACTGTCGTTTATGCACAATTTTGACACGGAACAGTTCCATGATGGGGGCAATATCGAGCTTTCGCTTGATGGTGGCCTAACTTGGACCGTGCTTGGATTTGCCAATGAACAGAATTGGTACAATACCGAATTTGTAACTTCATTGGATATCATTAAGCCGGGCTGGACCAACGTGAGCAACGGTTGGGACAGTGCTTCCTACGTTTTCCGCTTTGATACCGCAGCCGACCGCGTGGTGATTCGCTACCGCTTTGAAAGCGACTATGCCATTCAGAGTAAAGGCTGGGCCGTTGACAACTTCTGCTTGAAGATGTCGTCTAAACCCCATCAATTTGTAGTTGGAGATGAGGAGTTCAATCCTTCGCCCAACTCATTTGTGGGAACTTTGAGCCCCAACCCTACCTCAGATGTAACCAACTTGCCCATATTTGTTGCACAGGCCAAATCCATTCATGTGAACGTGGTGAATGTGATTGGCCAGGAGGTGTACAACTCCAAATACAATTTGGATAAAGGTTCAAACCAATTGCAGTTTGAAACCTTCAACTGGAACGCGGGCGTATACTTTATCAACCTCACTATTGACGGCCAGCACCTGACCCGTAAACTAGTCGTTCAATAAATTCAACAAGGCCTTAAACTGAAGCCTCGTCATATGACGGGGCTTTTTTTATGCCTCATTGTCTGAAATTTCCGTGCATAACCGTCTGTTTGTCAGTATTTTTAGGGCATTTACACTCCGGGCCTTAATTTGATTAAAGCACTACAAACCTTTAAAGCATGGACTTGAATAAATTCACCATAAAATCACAAAAGGCCATCCAGGCCGCCCAACAGTTGGCCATGGAGAAAAGCCACCAGGCAATCACCACGGCTCATCTCCTGAAGGGCAGTTTAGAAGTTGACGAAAATGTTATTCCCTTTTTATTGAAAAAGCTATCTGTAAACACCAAGGTGTTTGCACAGGCTTTGGATAGCATCATACAGTCATTGCCCAAAGTAGAGGGCGCTGAAATTTATCTTGATCGCGAGGCCAACAAAGCTCTGATGAAAGCGCAGAGTATGGCCCGTGAAATGAAAGACGAGTACGTTTCACTGGAACATATTTTAGCCGGCATACAAGCGGGAAATGACAATGCCGCCAGCTTGTTGAAAGACAATGGCATTACCGCCAAAAACCTGGAACAAGCCATTGTGGAGCTGCGCAAAGGAAATAAGGTAACCAGTGCCTCTGCCGAAGAGCAATACAACGCCCTGGAAAAGTATGCGAAAAATCTAAATCAACTGGCCAGCGATGGCAAACTAGACCCCGTAATTGGACGTGACGAAGAAATACGTAGGGTGTTGCAAATACTATCGCGCAGAACCAAAAACAACCCGGTACTTATTGGCGAACCCGGAGTTGGTAAAACCGCTATTGCGGAAGGAATGGCGCATCGCATCATCAGTGGAGACGTTCCTGAAAACCTCAAGGAGAAGAAAATATTCAGCCTTGATATGGGCGCATTGCTCGCGGGTGCCAAGTACAAAGGCGAGTTTGAAGAACGACTGAAGGCGGTAGTAAAGGAAGTAACCGAAAGCGATGGCAGTCTGGTACTGTTCATTGATGAAATTCACACCCTGGTGGGAGCCGGTGGTGGCGAAGGGGCCATGGATGCCGCCAATATTTTGAAACCGGCATTGGCCCGTGGAGAGCTGCGCGCCATTGGTGCCACTACTTTGGGCGAATACCAAAAGTATTTTGAAAAAGACAAGGCCCTGGAACGCAGGTTTCAGAAGGTTATGGTAAATGAGCCCGATACAGAATCGGCCATTTCCATTTTGCGCGGGATTAAGGAGAAATACGAAACGCACCACAAAGTACGCATTCAGGATGAGGCTATAATTTCGGCCGTTGAGCTTTCGCAACGGTACATCAGCGATCGTTTTCTGCCCGACAAAGCCATTGATCTGGTAGATGAAGCTGCTTCGAAGCTGAGATTAGAGATAAACTCCAAGCCCGAGGAAATAGACGTATTGGACAGGAAAATAATGCAGCTTGAAATAGAACTGGAGGCCATTAAGCGCGAAGGCGACAAAAGCAAGCAAGATCAACTGCGGTCAGATTTAGCCGAATTAAACGATGCAAGAAACACGCTCAACGCCAAGTGGGAGAAAGAGAAGGGCGTGGTTGAAGGCATCCAAAAGGCCAAAGAAGATATTGAACGCCTTCGCCTGGAGGCAGAACAAGCCGAGCGCAGAGGCGATTACGGACAAGTGGCCGAAATTCGCTACGGGAAGTTGAAAGCGGCCGAGGAGCGATTGGCCAAGGGCGAAAAAGAAGTTCAGCAGTTGCAAAGCGGTAACCCGCTAATTAAAGAAGAGGTTGACGCGGAAGACATTGCCGATGTTGTGAGCCGCTGGACCGGCATTCCGGTAACTAAAATGTTGGAGAGCGAAAGGGAAAAACTCCTGAAGCTGGAAGATGAACTGCACAAACGCGTGGTGGGCCAGGAAGAGGCGATAATGGCCGTTTCTGATGCGGTGCGCAGGAGCAGAGCCGGCCTGCAGGATGCGAAAAAACCCATCGGCTCATTTATATTTTTTGGCACCACCGGGGTGGGTAAAACTGAGTTGGCCAAGGCCTTGGCCGAATATCTCTTTAACGATGAGAACGCCATGACCCGCATTGATATGAGCGAATTTCAGGAAAGACATGCCGTAAGCCGTTTAATTGGCGCACCTCCCGGATATGTAGGTTACGATGAAGGCGGACAACTTACCGAAGCGGTGCGCAGAAAACCCTATTCAGT